TGGGTTGTTTCAACCCAACTTTGGGTCAAATATGGACTAACCCAACCGTTGGGTTAAATTTTTACATTCAATTTTTAACCCAAAAGTTGGGTTAGTCCATATTTGACCCAAAGTTGGGTTGAAACAACCCAGCATTTTTTAGAGTGTACCAAGATACTTCCAGTGCAAAATATTTTATCTTATATATTAATATAAATACCTTATTTGAAGGTTATTTAAGGCATAATTTGTATACATATGTTGATAAAATAATAGTTCAATTAACTTCAAACATTATTATATGATATTATATTATATTGTATTATATTATATGCCGAAATACTTCCACAGCACGGCACAACACTACCACTTTGTGTTCATACTCTCCAGGACCTCCTAGAGGCCTTTTTCAATAACAATGTGTTTATGCTAAATTAAGAAAATAATAAAGTTGCTACTTATTATATCATGCTTCTTTCTGAACACTTGTCTTGTTTAATTATATGTATTTTGATACATATCACAGTTAAAATCTCCATCATACATAACATTTACATTTAGAAAAAGTTAATTTATGGCTACTAGAGAGACTTGTTCAGACTTGCCTGCTGGCACTTTTATGTAATTAATTATTATGTAAATTAATTATTACCAAATAGGCGTGTATTGACGGATGTCCTATTCTGGCGTCTACATGCAATGAGTTTAACAAGTAAACTTTAACTAACTAACTAACTAAATAAATAAATAAATCTTAAATTTAGAAGTACGCTTTCAGATTTGCACCATTAATTATTCATGACTAAGCGTCTCTCTCCAGAGCTCGTTTGTGTGTGTGTGTCAAGACAGAAACTATTTAAAAAAAATAGTTTTTAAAAGAAAGTGATAAAAAACTATAAAGTTCAGAAGGGCTTTTTCAGACGTGCCTGTAAACTATGAATTAATTATTCACGAGGAGGCGTGTCTCCCAGAGGCCCCATCTTCCTCATACAAAAAAACTGCATGTAAACTACGCAAGACAGGTTAGTATGACGAAGTTGTGAGTTTAAACTAAACTCACCCTAGATTTAGAGGCGAAAAACAAAACTAAACTCGAACAATCTCTTTTCCAGACGCAGGCTGGAGGAGCATATGGCGGCGACGGAGACCAGCTTAAGCCCGGCGGTGGAGTCGGTGGTGCCGGCTTGTATGTTCGCACCTGACCCGGACTGCGCGGAGGAGTCGCCCGGCGCTGAGCGCAGCGACGCCGGCGACAACCAGAACGGGGAAGCCGAGGATCATTTAGACCTCACCAGCAAGGTGGCTCTCAGGCCTAAGCGTTCGTTTGAACGCTTATCTGTGTGCACGAACCAGTACAAGAGTTTATTTGATAAAGGTGTTTAAACACATTTAACAACTTTGAATTCAAAGCAGAAGCGCTGCATGAGTGACACGTTGGCTGTGCATGTGAACTCCAGCTGGCACTACAAGAACTGTAGCGTTACTGACCCCAGACTATACAGACTTATGTGCATGTGTGCGATCGAACCTGAACATGATTAACATTGTGATAGGGTGAATTTAAGGTTGTTGCCCTTTTAATGCATGTAAAACTGCAGTAAAAAGTGCAACATGAAAACGCGTTTGCTTCAAATATAGATTTGTAGGTGCCTAAAAAGTATTTGGGTGCTTAAAAATATACAGATATTTTTTTTAAATATATTTATTAAAATTAGATTTGATTAGATTTAGAATCATAAAATGATAAAACAAATATATTTACATTTTTCTTTTCAAATTATTACATTAATTTATAGTTTGATGTATGTTGGGTTTGTAACAATAAAAATTAAGAATTGCACTTAATTAAATATAATGGAATTATAAAATTACAGATAGACTGTTTGTAAATAGGTTTAATTGCAAAAATGACTCAAAAAAGTTAAGTTATAGCCTGCTGTCTAAAGCATTGGAATTACTTTTATTTAAATTTTCATTTGAATAACTTAAAACCTACCAAACTACTTATATATAAAAAAATTCAAATACATTTCACTGTATGCATATATATATATATATATGTGTGTGTGTGGAATGCATTCCAATATTTTGGTAATTAAAAAGTTAGTCATAGCCTGCTGTCAGTGAAATTTATTTTACTTAAATAGACTTAAACTTTTTGTATTAAAAAAATAAGGTTTGAAAAGTGTGCTTGTGGTGTCATTAAAAAATAAAATAGACCCACAAATGCTGTCGAAAGTTAATGTGAATTATCATCAACCCAGCCATTCAGCCCTCGATGTATGTTTTTTTTTTATAGACATATTTTCATATGGTTTTGTGTTGCAGAAACGCTTAAGTTATTACAGAGGTTACTCAAGTCTCCAGGATGCAGAAAAATTCCAGTTTTGGTGCAAAACAAGGATGACGTCATTGTTACGGCCTCAAACTTCAGCTCAGAAAGGTAATTTTGCTTAAAGGGGTCATATGATGTTGCTAAAAAGAACATTATTTTTTGTATTTGGTGTAATGAAATGTGTTTATGAGGTTTAAGGTTTAAAAAACACATTATTTTCCACATACTGTACATTATTGTTTCTCCTCTATGCCCCGCCTTTCTGAAACGCGTCGATTTTTACAAAACTCATCGGTCTGAAAAGC